TTTTTTTTTTTTTTTCCATTTTATTAACTCACACTGACATAACTTCAGCACTGTTCAATGCACTGCACTGCAGGCAGGCCATGGACAGCAGCAAGATGAATAGCTTTCAGTCAATACAGCTACTGAGCAGAGGAGTCAGACACTTGTTAAGGGTAATTTGTGGACAGCAGTTGCAGTTCCTCCAGTGGATGTTTATGGTGGTTTAAGCCCTGCCAGGACCAGAGAGCACGTTGCTGTTGCCCCTCCCCCACCCTCTGCCAGTCGGGCTGGAAGTTAGGCACAAACCCCAGGTAAAAATAAGAAAAATTTAATACAACAATTTTGCTGCTAATGTTGGCAGCAGAGTGCTTGCCTGGTGGCTGACAAGCTTGAAATGTGTCTTTGCAAATCCCTGAACTCTTCAAGGTAAAATACTGATGCTTTCATTAGCAGTAGAGATCATGATCCAGGAAAAGCAGTAGAAAACATTAGTTTGACTTAAAGCACCTCCTTAAGCTACACTGAAATAACTGGACTTAAACAGATGCTTCCATTAGGGCATGTGTGTAGGTGCTTTGCTGAATCCACATTAGCTCCTTTAGGCCTGAACATCTCAATGATACCCCTGAATACAAACAATAGGATTAGAAAACTTGATCTGGCAATTAAAGTCTTTCACAGACTCTTCCTGTATGATCAGTCTTTGTGAAAATTAGTTACATAGTAAATGAGAAAACTTACTGAGTTTAGTGAATCTTCAGGAGATGCATATATAAAGAAGAAAATGTCCTGTGTGGAGAGAAAGCATTTCAGGATTCAATAACTCAAATGCTTAATTATTAATGTGCCTGATTCTCTGTGAAATACAGACATTGTTCCATATGCTTGTCTGTCTTTTACTTTCACATAGCCTGCCAGTAATGAGTTATGTGTCATTTCTCATCTAATCCCTTTTTGTAAAATTTAATCTTCAAATTCTAACATTTATCAAACACACAAAGACAGCTGATGCACATTAAGCAAAGCAGATAATTATTCTTTCAGATAGAAATGAATGCCTCTCTGCAAGCTTCCCCCAGTGCCAGTTACATTTCAGCAGAGTGAAATCATTTATCCAGTTTATGAAACTAGCCAGCATGCAGCGGGAAGGCAGAGGGAGCTGAGATGAAGAGCCTTGCTTGATGTTGCATTCATGCTGGGCCTGTACAGGGCTGAGAACTGTGTGTTAAAAGCAAGCTTAAGCAACCCCCCAAGAAATTTTGTTTTCCTGTTCCATTTGTATTATTTCTCATCTGGGCCTGGGAATCTCATCATGCTGCCTGGGAATGGTGGCAAATTCTTTGCTGGATCTTTCTCTACAAATTGTTGTTTTGTTCCCACGCAGTCTGTACCACAATTATACTTCGGACTAAACCATTCACTTTGGAGAGTTTCCTGCTTCAGCATCAAGGTGGAATAGTGATAAGTATCCAAATGATGGTTTAGGACTCAGTGGTTAAGCACACACTTAATCTGCCTTAAAAACAGCTGTGGAGTAAGAAGGAATCAGTTTTTAAAGTGGAAATAGGAGTTATACAACCCAACTGTGGATTCATTTGGTATTGCCTATCTGCTCCATAATTTTTGATTTTTAATTTTCCATCAGCAAGTTTCAACATCTCATAACACAGGAGTAAAAGACTCAGATTATGAGGTTTTTATTAATTTAATGGAAATTGTTGACTTGGTAAAGAAGAAAGTTAAATTTATTGTCTTCATGAGGGAATATGTAAGAATCTCTACTAGGCAATAGAGAATCTGTTCAGGAGAGATTTTATGCAATTCACATCATACTAGCTTGGTGGTTTGTTGGTTCCATTTTTCCCTTCAGTTTGAAGCGGTGAGGGACTCAACTGAATCCGTATTTTCTGTGCTGTACTTTTTACTTGGAGCTACTTCTGTCACAAAATGACTTTATAACCTAACTTTAAATAAATGTCTACACACTTATGTGATCTAAGATTTGCCTTCTGCTATATGCCATATGGCACTGCACTGACACTAGCAAATTGAATAAAACCTAGAAATTGAAATTTGAGAGGCTCTAGTCTGCTGCCTGTTATCTGTATGGATTTCAAATTGACCCACTCATTTATCGAAAATTCATCAAGCATATATTTCTTTCACTGCTAATAAGGAAGGACCATGAAGCCATCTTTGCTAAATGGAGAGAAAAGGTAAGCAAAACAAGAAAGGCATCAGCTTTCTGAAGAAGCAGAATTTGAACACAAGTTTCCAGGAATTAATATAGAGTGCACTTACTCCTCATATAAACCAACAGCTCTAGTATTAACATTGCATGATACCACAAATACAGATATCTGAAGTTCATCAGCAAAGTCAAACGGAAGAAATGTTGTGATAGTTACTAAAGGAGGCCATGAAAGAAGTTTGACCCATGAGAACCACAGTAGTGTATCCAGAGGAAAAACTATCATAACTCACTGTTGTAATGGAGGCAGGAACAGAAGCAAAGGCAGGCCTCCAAGCACAAGACTAGGTTTCTCTGGTGATGCCCTTTCAGTTCCAAACAGTAAGTATCATTTTCAATGTCTTAACTCTAAACAAGGTGCAGTCCCACAGGATCCCCTTAGGAGTTTGTTTATGCAGAGCAGACACAACAGTACTGATCATGCATGGATGGAGTCTTCTTCATGAACAGAGACCTCAAGGAACAAGTGGGACTCCACTGCCCATATAAGGCCAGAACAGAGCCAGCCATTGGATTATTTGCTTATGTCCCAAGGGAACTGTTGTCTAGATTAAATCATGTGCATTTGTTGGCTAGCACAACTGATGTGGCTAGATGTGCCTTGCTGTCAACTCAGAAGTGTGTGGATACCCAGGGAAGACCACTGGTCCCTAAGGAGCAATCACACTCCCTCAGACTATGGAGAGAAGGATGCTGAGAGAATAAATATTTGCTAAATTGGATACTAATGGGGTGGGGTTAATTTGCAGATGAGAATTCGTTCCTTCTCAGGTAGCTTCATCTTTACAAAAGCTCAGAATTTTCTGGTCAAAAGAATAAAAATAATTTTCTTCTGTGCTATCAATGTCTTATAAAGTCAGAAGGTTGGAAAATTCACAGGTAGGTGGATATGTTCTCTTTACCCTGCTGGGTATTTACTTCCTTCCCTTGGCTACAGATCAAGCTGTAAATGTATAGAGAGTCCCATGACAGTAAAACAGTCTTCAGGGGAAAAAACGTTTTGGGAGCTTTCATGGAGAAAGACTCTTCTGTGATGATGAGTAATTGACGTGGGGCAGTGGTTATCAACCTGTGGTCCATGGTCCACCCCTGGGGGACCACAAATGCTGTCATGGGGGTCTGTGAAGGCTTAAAGCATGGGTGGGGAATGTCCAGTCCAGAAACATTTGATCTAGCCTGCAGCAAGCACTGCATCTCCTTTTTGCACAGCCCCTTTCCCTCAATGCTCCTCCTGTACTCAATCTCCTTTCACACCCCCACCTCCACCTGCCCTGACGCTGCATGAACAGCACCCTCACCTTTGCTGGCTGACTCTCCTCGGCCCTCAGATTCATGAGCAAGTCCCTCCATCTCTGGGCTATTCAGCACTGGCCTCCAGTGACAAGCATGAAGGTGCTCTCCCAGTCTCAACGCCACCCCTCAAGGCCTGATAAATTGTTTAGGAATAAATGCCAGGTATCTTAAACCTAATGAGGTTCAAGACATTTTTATTCACACTCTGGGAGATGACACAAGAGCAGGTGCTAATGGCTTGCATTATCTCAATTAAAAACAGTCTGGGGTACAAATCAGCTTTGAGAGTAGCTGTTTGATGACAAATAGCTGCATTTGGCATTTCTGCTGAGAATATGAAAGTGAATGACATTGAGTGGCAAAGAGGGAGCATGAGCTTCAAGACAGTAAGAAATTGGTAAAAAAACCTGCAGCTGCTTGTAACAATGAAAATGCAGTGAGGGCCTCATCTGAGGTTTCTCAACTAATAGCAAAAACCAGAAAACCCACACTATAGGTGAAGAACTTATGTTACATGCTGCAAAAATAATGGTTTCTGCATTGATCAGCAAGCTGCCAACAACCTTTCCATAATACCTTTTTCAAATGATGTAGTTAAGAGGTGAGCTGATGATTTGTCAGCCAATATTAAGGAACAATTATTAGAATTAATTTGCCTATCCCCCCTACTTTTCATCACAACTGGACAAAAGCAAGGACACAACAAACAAAGCAACCTTACTGTGCCATGTTAGCTATCAGCACGAAATAAATGTTTTCAAAGACATACTGTTCATCTCATTGATACACAATACAGCTGAGGAAATATTCAACAATTTAACTGAGTTAATAACATCTCATGACATGAAGTGGTCGAAATACATTGGAATTAGCACAGATGGT